AAAAGCACCTAATATGTGACAGTAACAATATGTAGATAATGACAGCATTGTTGTTTTTAATCCTCATTTGAATACATGCTTAGAAGAAATGAGAAAGAGGGAGAGGGAGGAAAGGAGAGACAGAGAGAGAGAGAGTGAGGGAGGGAGAGAGACAGAGGCAGACATCAAACCCGGCACCTAGGTATGTGCCTTGACCTGGAATCAAACCGGCAACCTTTCAGTGCACAGGACGACACTTAATCAATTGAACCACACCTGCTGGGCTGAATTGTATTTAAAAAAAAAAAAAATATATATATATATATATATATATATATATATATATATATATAATTGATTTTTTACAGAGAAGAAGAGAGAAGGATAGAGAGCTAGAAACATTGACCAGCTGCCTCCTGCACACCCCCTAACGAGGATGTGCCCGCAACCAATGCACATGCCCTTGTCCTGAATCGAACCTGGGACATTTCAGTCCTCAGACCGATGCTCTATCCATTGAGCCAAATCGGTTTCAACTGAATTGTATTTTTTAATCAATTAAATTCCTTGACTGTGAAGTTGCTCTGACATATGAAAAATATTTTTTAAATTGCCTATTAAAAAAAGGAGAGATCAAGGTCCCCAAGAAAGTGAGGCCCCGGAAAATCAAGTGGTCACTGTAGCGGGGGAGAACAGAGATCTTCTGGAAGAAGTGTTACTGGAGCCAAACTGGGAGGGATGGGAAGGGTTTGGTAGGCAACAGTTCTGGGGGAGGGCATTCTGGGCGGAGGAGCAGCTTAGGCAAAGGCGCGGTGGCTGAAAAGCTGGAACAGGAGACAGTGAGGACATCATGACAGCAGGGGGCAGTAGAGAGGAACTAAAGGGGTAAGCTGGAGCGTGTGGGAGGTGAGGAACTATGGGAGAGTTTTGAACAGGGAGGACCCTGGTCCCGTGGAAGCTGCCAAAAGAACCTGATGGACAGGGGATCATGGCCCGAAGGCCCAGTGGACCTTCAGCCAGGCTTTGGGGACAGCCACCTGAGGTTGGGGGACGGCATGCATCTCAGGGGCCTCAGACTTACCTCTGTCTTCTTAAATCGAGCCCGGAGAGTCTTCATGGCCAGCGTACAATGCTTCTCCTCAACCCAGGCCACCTGGGAAAGGACAGGGGGTCAGGGGATCGGTCTTGGTGAGCAGGAGGGTCTGCAGCCTTCCCCTCCTCAGAAGGACCACGTCCTTCCCCCTGGGCCATCCTGGCCCCTTGAGCAGGACACAGACATGCCCCATCTCCTGACCACTGTGTGTCCTTCAGCTGGTCATGTCTCACATCTCAGTTTCACATCTCTCACCCTTAAAATAAGGAAGATACCCCTCTTGACCAACTCATGGTTAGTTTTCAGTGCGGTCTGTAGCATTGGGTCAGCAAACAGTAGGGGCTCAAAAATGCACTTCATCGGTATTTCCTGTGACCCAAGAAGATCAGGGATGTTTCTGGTACCCAAGCTTTGGACTTTGCAGTTATTTCTACCTAAAATGCCTTTCTTGCCTGGCTGGTATGGCTCAGCCTTTGAGCATCGACCCAGGAACTAAGAGGTCAAAGGTCAGGGCACATATCTGGGTTGTCAGCTCGATCCCCAATAGGGGGCGGGCAGGAGGCAGCTGATGGATGTTCTCTCTCATCGATGATTCTCTCTAACCCTCTCCCTGCCCCTCCCTAAAAATCAATAAAAAACCATATTAAAAAATAAAATGCCTTTCTTTATTCCTTCTCTGGTGAACTCCTAATTCATTCTGTGCAGCCCAGTTTCGAAATCCCATGTTCTTTTTTGTTTTTTAAATCCTATGTTCTGATTGATCGATTGTGCCTCTCACCAGTAGGCAGAGCTCTAACTCACCACATTTGGTTCCTTCCGCCCTGCCTGGGCACCTTCTACCCCAGCCCTGGCTCCACCAGCTCAAAGTATCTGGGCTGATTCTATCATCCTGAATAGTAGGGGCTCTTTGGGGGCCAGGCCCAGAACTGAGGCTCTTAGCACGAAGGCATGTTCCTTGGACAGTCAGAGAGAACAGCCTGGCTTCCGCATGAGTGAAAGCATGGGGGGAAGTCACCCAAGGCGGGAGGAGGTCTGGGTCGATGGTTATGTGCATGTATGTGCACACACAAGCCTGAGGCATGTGTGTGCATGCATGCCTGTGCACCTTGGCCTGTTCTGTGTTCCATGCATGTGCAGGAATAGGCAGGTCAGACAGGTATACCTCCAGGGTTGTTTCGTTAGATGTGGGCCTCAGGATCCCTTCCCATGTCTGAGTGGGATTTCTGTGAAGGTGTGTCTTTCACCTGCCCACCTGTCCATGACTTCTCCAACCCATCCTTCTCCCCCCACCCAACCCCTAACCTATCCTTAAATCCATCTACCCTCTCACCTGTGCATCCATCTTTCTACCTCAGGACCTGTATATCCCCCACCAGCTCTCCCGCCCAACTCACCTCCTCATGGTCCTTCACTTCAGCACCCTTCCACCATGCTTCACTCTGCATCCATCACCCACCCCCCATCCACCTATCTACCCACCCATGTATGCACTCACCTACCCACCCACCCATCTACTCATTCATCCATCGGTCATCCACCCTACACTGACTTATCAACTTACCATCCATCCACCCTTCCATAAACCCATTCACCCACTCATCCTTCTACTGCCCATCCACTCATTCATCTCTTCAGTTTACTCCATTCACTCAATGTACCCCTTTGCTCACCACCCACCCATCCTTTTTCTTTACCCCTGTCTAAAGGACTCAATCACACCGAGAGGAGAGCGTAATAAGACACGCACGAGAGGAGTCCACAGGTTGAACAGGTGGGAATCTCTAACACCACAATCTTCTTTTTAGTGGGATTTTTCAAAACCTGAAATAAGGGCAGCAGGTCCGTGGGAGACTATATGCTCAGCCCCAGTTAACTCCTATTTGATGGGTGGGAACACTGAGGCCCAGAGGGGGGGGGGGAGAGGCCCAGACCAAGTATTGCCACCTGCTTGGGGGAGGGGGAAGTGCCCTCATCTAGGAGCTGCTTCCCGGAAGAGGCGATGATCTGTAAGCAGGGCCTGAAGGCCAGGCAGGACCCTAAGTACCAGGAAAGGAGAGGGTACACACCCCAGACGGACTAAGGCTGAGAAGTGGGAGGCGCATGCACACACAAGTGCGTGTTTGTCAGGGTGCCTGGGGAATCCCTCCGTGTGGCCCCGCCGAGTGGGATATATACCGGCGCCTCCTTTCTCCCACACGCTAGGGCTCGGGGGCAAGGAACCTGAGGTCCTAAGGGGAGCCCCCATCCCAGGCCTCCCTTCTCTCCCTCCTCTCCTACCTCCTGCAGTTCCAGGGACTCCAGTACCAGGCCACTGTGTTCACGGCTGGCTCCGGTTACCCACTCCCTGCTGGGCCACCAGCTAGCACCAGCAACACTGTGCACTCAGCTCTGACACCCGATCAGCTCTGAGCAGGCGGCAGCAGCCCCAGGGGGCCGGGGATGAGCCGAGGGAGGAGGCAGGTTGGCAGCAGGGCTGCCTGTTGGCCAGCGGGATCTAGTGGGAAGACATTGATGTTCTTCCCTATCATCACTGGACCTAGTTCAGCTTCTGGAATGAGCTACTCTCCTCCTTCCCCCAGCCTTGGCACTTACTGTTTCCTCTGCTAGGAGCACTCTGCCTGTGCCCCATGTCACTCCCCAACTTAATCTTTTCCCCCCTCTCATTCTATTCACTCTTCAGATCTTTGCTGTGACATCCCCTCCCCCAGGAAGGCTTTCTGGATGCCTCCTAGGCTGGGTCAGGTGCCTCCTCTAAGTTTCTGAATTGCCTGGTGCCCTCCTGGCACCTCAGTCACACTGTCACCATTGCCCAGGCACTGGTTTGTACCCATCACTAGCCACAGGCGCCACTTCTGTCCTCCAGTGTCTCCTTAGCACATAGGAGTAGGTGCTCAACACGTGTGGGGTTTTTGGTTTGTTTCTTTTGAGAGCACATTTATTAAAGCTGGGGACCGTGAAACAAGGAAGGGCTTAGCACAGAAGAAGCAAGTGCAGAGAGCCTGGGAATGGAGGGAGTGCAGGGGGTGGGGAGGAGAGGGGACTGCTTGTTTTGGGAAGAATGGAGCCACGGTGGGGCTGCTGTTGGCTCCCCGAGAAGTAAGCCACAGGAACAGGAGTGAGTGGAGGCAGAGCTGCTGTTGGCTCACTGAAAAGTCAGAGAAAAGGGGGTCTTAGAGACAGGTTCAGGGCTAAGCTTGGGATGAGCTGCTGCTGCCCAGTGCTCCCCTGGTTGCAAGTCTCTGGGACCCTTAGAACCTAGGAGGAGAGGGGGGTGAGAAGCAGGACTGAGAAAGAAATGGGGAAGCAAGGCGTGTGCAGGCTCCAGAGGGAGCCGCTCAGCACGTGCTCCTGAAATGAGTCCTAAAGGCCACCTTCTCCAGCCTCTGGGTGCCCAGGGGGCCAGTCCTGCTGAGGGACCATCACCCACCTGAGTAACAGTCAGATAACTGAGTGTCACCCGAAGTTCTCTCCGGTGAGGCCCCCGCCTCAGGTACCCTTCACTTGGAACTTATAAACTTCTGCAATGTGCAATGGAAAGCACCTTGGACTGGAAGTCCGAGTCCTGGGTCCCTTCTCGGGGACCGCACCCTCACAGGGGTGGGGGGTGGAGGGGGAGCACCAGTTTAGTAGTTTATAACAAGGGAAGATGGCTGTGTCCCTCGTACCAGAGATGGCTGGAGAACTCTCACGTGGGCGGGCGGCCCCGCTGCCCGCGGGCCCACAGCCCCCCTCCCGCCCCGCGCGGGCGGGTACGAGGGAGCCGGCCTCTTTTACCAGCAGTCAAAATGGCGCCCGCGGCGTCAGCGAGAGGCGCATGCGCCTCGGGGGGGCGCAGCCGGGCGGCTCCGCCTTTTCCGTGTCCCTCCCGACTTCCGGCGGAAGTGGCCTCAACAAGGTAAACTTTATTGTTCCCGTTTGGGAGTCGAGAATGTCGGTGAATTACGCGGCGGGGCTTTCGCCGTACGCGGATAAGGGCAAGTGCGGCCTCCCGGAGGTGAGCGTGGCCGGGGGTCCCCGCAGGCCGCCCCTTCCATGGCCGCGGGCCGGGTGGGGCCGGGCGGGGCCGGGCGGGGCCGGGCAGCAGAGCATTGGGACTATCTGGAGGCACCGGAGCTAGACAATGGGAGGAACTTCCCACTAAGGACGGGTGGGAAGTGACGCCCCCCAGCGCGCGAAGAGGCCCAGCCGGGTCGGGGGGCTGGTACGCAGGGAAGGGCGCGCGGGGCGAGTCCTGAGGTTCTGATGGAGTGGCCCGGGGTGTAGTTCTCGGCGGAGGTTCTGCAGGGGCAGAGGCGGGGCGAGGGGAGGGATAAACGCACTTGGGGAACATATTAAGCCAGAGTCCGGCGAGGACAGCCCCCAAATGCCAGCCTGGGAAGTTGACTTTATCGTGTGGGTGATGGAAACAGGTTTTGAGCTGGGAGCCCTGGATGGATGTAAGTATGTGTCAGGAAGACCCCTCCAGCGACTCCGAGAGAAGTCCCCTCCACGTAGTGAGACCTTGGGCTTGTCACTTACGTTCTGAAGAGGAGTCTCCCCTTCTGCACACTGGGTGTGTGTGTGTGTGTGTGTGTGTGTGTGTGTGTGTGTGTGGATTGCCCTCATCCCATAAAAGCTACTCAGGCCGTTCTGAGACAGACATGCATGTAAGGAGCTCTCAGAGGGTGTGGGTCCCTCTGGAAGCCCTGTTCCTCCCTCCCTGCGTTGGCTTCATTCCTCAGATATTTATTGAGCACCTACTGTACACCAGGCACTTTCTAGGTCCTGGGGCCACAGCAGGGAACAAGGCAGACAAAACCCCCTCATTCCAGGGCGAAAAGAGAAACAGCAAATAAACGTAAGATGTGACACAGGAGCTGAGAGAGCCTAGGGAGGAAAGGAAAGCTGGCCGTGCTGAGCACCGGGGCGGCATGGAAGCCAGGGGCCGGGAGGCATCCCTGAGGTGGCTTTTCCCCCCAGTGTTTTCTATTATGAAGTACACCTTTCATACCATATGTCATCTTAATGTATACTTACAGTCAGGGGCATTAAGTATATTCATGTTGCACAGCCATCCCCATCATACATGTCCAGACCGCCATCATCTTCCCAAACTGAAACTCTGACCTCATGAAACCCTTAACTCCCAACCCCTGGCACCCATTATCTACTTCCTGTTCCTATCGATTTGATTCTCTTAGGAACTTCATAAGTTGGAATCACACAGTATTTGCCCTTTTTTTTCCTTTCAATCCTCACCCGAGGATGTTTTTTAAAAGATTTTTTTCTTTATTGATAAAAGTATTACATATGTGTTCTTCTCCCTCCATTACCCCTCTACCCCCCCGACACCTGAGGATATTTTTCCATTGATTTTTAGAGAGATTAGAAGAGAAAGGGAAAGACAGAAACATCGATGTGAGAGAAACACATCAATTGGTTGCCTCCTGCATGAGTCTTGGCCAGGGTCTGGGCCAGGAAAGAGCCTGCAACGAGGTGCATGCCCTTGACTGGAATCCAACCTGGGACTCTTTGACTCGCAGACCGACGCTCTAGCCAACGGTCACCACCAACCTTTCGGACCTCACGGACCACCAGTGGTCCGAGGATCACGAGTTGGTGATGCTGGCTCTACCCACTGAGCCAAAATGGCTAGGGCTGTCCTTTTTGTTTGTTAACCTCACCTGAGGATTTTTCTTCCCATTGATTTTTAGAGACAATGGAAGGGAAGGGGAGAGACGGAGAGAGAAACATCCATGTGAGAGAGACACATAGATTGTTTGCCTCCTGCAGGTGCCCTGACTGGGGCTGGGGACCGAGCCTACAACCGAGGTACGAGCCTTTAATGGGAATCCAACCTGAGACCCTTCAGTCTGTGGCTGACGCTCTAACCACTGAGCAAAACTGCTAGGGCAGTATTTGTCCTTTTGTGTCTGGCTTCTTTCACTCAAAAACAATGTCCTCAAGGTCCATTCCCATTGTAGCGTGTGTCAGAATTATGTTTACCCGCTCATTCATCAATGGATACTTGGCTTGCTTCTATGTTTTGACTCTTGTAAGTAATGCCTCTGTGAACCTAAGTGTGTAAATGAGGTGTCTTCTGAACCAAGACCTAAAGGAGGTGAGGGAGTCCAGGAAAAGAGTGTTTTAGGCCGTAGGCTGAAGGGAGGACTTGGGCTTTTGCCTGAGGAGGTGGGAGCCCTGGAGGGCTGTGGGCAGGGGAGGGACATGATGACAAACTGCCTTTTCGGATTCACTCTCGTCAAAGCAAGGGCAGCTCAGTCTGTGGCTAGTGGCCCTGCAGCTGTGGGACACGTTTTGATCCCATCACTGCCCTTTGCTCTCTCACCAACAGATCTTCGACCCCCCTGAGGAGTTGGAGCGGAAGGTGTGGGAGCTGGCGAAGCTGGTTTGGCAGTCCTCCAATGTGGTGTTCCACACGGGCGCTGGCATCAGCACCGCCTCGGGCATCCCTGACTTCAGGTGTGTAGGTGTGGAGGGGAAGTCAAGGCAGGACCTGCTAGCTGCTGAGGGCTTCCCGGTGAGCCACAGATCCCCAGGCACCGGAATCCAGCCTGTGCCTCCCCCCTCGCTGAGTTGTGATCCTGCATTCCCTGGGTGTTTGGGATGGGAAAGACCCCTCCCTTCAGACTTGTCCCTTTAAATCACACCCAACATTTCTCTGCCCACTCCTCGCCACAAGGGATGCTGGGCTCACTGTGCAGAGCTAAACATCGGTACTATTACCCTAGAAAGCAGAGAGTCACATCAGGGACAATTAGCTCCACACTCAAAAGTATTTTTCTGTCAGACCTGGTACCGGGCAAGTGGCTTAACCCTTTGGACCTCAGTTTCCTCCCATAGCTGAGGGTGTGAAATCTGATAAACCACTCTGTACTTCAGGCAACCTGTGTGACAAGAATTTTATAGCCGAAAAGCAAGGTTCTCAACCTGGTGGCCCCTGAGTTGCTCCAGGAGTTGCTGAGTTTGCAACCCTGTCCCAAAGGGCAGGCCTATTGCATTTGTACTATTTTCCAAGTCCTCTCGGGCCTCCAGGAGAAGAGGAGCGGATTCCTTGGAGGAATGTTAGAATTCTAAGGCATGAATTCTTCCACTCCTGCCATGGCTCCCCATGGCTACACAGGCGAGTTCCAAGACCTTTCTGACCCAGCCCTACGTTATCTCTTCAACTCCTGCTCCCGTGTACTTGCATTCCCCAAACTCACAGGCTGGTGCCAGCACCCCAGGGCTTTGCTTACCCTTCTGCCCCAACTGCCCTGCCCTGCCCTCTTAAGTTTAAGAGACAGCTCAGCCTCCTCCTCACACGGAGCCCTCTCTGCCTCCATCGGGCCAGCCCAGCCCCGCCCACAGCGCTGAAGGGTCTGTGTCCACCAGTGTCTCCCCTGACAAGATCAAGGACTCCTTGGGGAGGGCCCGGTTCCCCAAGGTCCCCAGCATCGCCCAACACAGGGCCAGGCTCTGCAGCGGCAGTAAATATTGGTTGAATTGAATAATTAATTTTTGCCCTTGGTGTACACTATTCTCTCTCTTCTTCCTTCTCTTCTTCCCTCTTAATCCCCCCCCCCTTCTCTCTTTGTCTGTCTCATTCTCTCTCTCTGTCTTTCTCTGTCTATCTTCAATTCTGTCTATTTCTCTTTTTTTTAAAAAAAATCCTCACTAGAAGATACGTTTTTATTGATTTTTTTAAAATATATTTTATTGATTTTTGTACAAAGAGGAAGGGAGAGAGATAGAGAGTTAGAAACATCAATGAGAGAGAATCATCGATCAGCTGCTTCTTGCACACCCCCCACTGGGGATATGCCCGCAACCAAGGTATTAATACATGCCCTTGACCGGAATCGAACCCGGGGCCCGAGTCCCCAAGCCAACATTCTATCCATTGAGCCAAACCGGTCCCGGCTGTTTTTATTGATTTTGAGAGAGAGAGAGAGAGAGAGAGAGAGAGAGAAACATTGATCAGTTGCCTCCATATGCTCACTGAATGGGGATTGAACCCACAACCTAGGTATGTGCCCTGACCAGGAATCAACCTACAACCATTTAGTGTACGGGAAGGTCCTCCAACCAACTAAGCCACCCAGTCAGGGCTGTCTGTCTCTCTCTTTAAAAAAAAATTTTTTTTATTTCAGAGAGAGGAAGGAGGAGAGAGAAAGAGATAGCAACATCAATGATGAGAGGGAATCATTGATTGGCTGCCTCTTGTACAGCCCCTACTGGGGATCGAGCCTGCAACCCAGGCATGTGCCCTGACTATCAAACTGTGACCTCCTAGTTCTTGGATTGACGCTCAACTACTGAGCCACACTGGCCAGGCTGTCTGTCTCTTTTTATGCCCGTCCCCTTCTCTGATCCCTAAACTTTTTGTCTGCATCTCTCCCCACATGCCACCCTCAGAGGCCCCCATGGCGTCTGGACGATGGAGGAGCGGGGCCTGGCTCCCAAGTTCGACACCACCTTCGAGAGCGCACGGCCCACACAGACCCACATGGCACTCGTGCAGCTGGAGCGCGTGGGCCTTCTCCGCTTCCTTGTCAGCCAGAACGTGGACGGGCTGCACGTGCGCTCCGGCTTTCCTAGGTAACACCGCCCCCTCTCTGCACTTCATGTTCCTTATTTGCAAAAGGAGGCTGATGGCAGCCCTCCCTTGAGAGGGCGATATGGCAATTCAGCAAGGCCACGGGGGAAAGCACTTGCCACTTAATAGGATTTCTCCAACCAGAGCTATTGTCGTCAGTGCTTCCTGGGCATCTCCCAGGGTGGCTGCAGAATCTCGCTTGAGATGGGGAGGAGGGTGGTCAGGGTCTAGGATGTGCAGTTGCATTTTAATATCCGTCTTTATTCTGAATGTGAATACAGGTTTCGGGCAGAAAGGTCGATTCCTTAATACCAAGTGTGTCGCCCTCCCTCCCCACTTTCCCTGATCTTACCTTTGGGGACAGTGAGAGCCCAGTTAGTTCATACAAGTAGCCAGACCCTCCCCAGGCAAAGGGGCCGGGAAGGGCCTTGTCTCTGCTTGCAAAGGAGGATGAGGCAGCCGTCCTCTGCGCTTTGGAAATGAGCTCGAGAACTAACTCCAGGCCTCGGCACTGAAATAAAATTTCTCCAGGAGTCAGACAGCTCTTCTGACCTAGAAATGTCTCCAAGTTCTGGGCCTTCATCCATTTCAACACGTAAAAACCCTGGGGCCCTATTTGGGCTGTAACTGCTGGGCACCTTCTTATCCAAGCAAAGTAATTCACTAGGTAGGTGGCTTGGGGCACATGCAGACGTTTCTAGAAATGAAAGCAAACGGTTTCTCACCACATAGCAAATACATTCCTGGGGCACAGGTGGTTAGGGCTTCTACGAGAACTCACAAATCCAGGTCCCTACACCTGGACACGTTGAGCTGGAGCGTGTAAGTGGATGTGACAGAGCCACCCAGAGATTGAGGGGAGCCGCTGAGGGGAGGGGACAGGGGTGTATTTGGGGATTTCAATGCCTTCAATTTCCTGACTGATGGATTTCAGTCAGCTCCCCTGCCTCCACCCAGGCCACTCTCCGAACCCACTGCTCACTTCTCAGTGACACTGGGGGACACCAATCCCGCAACACTACTGGGTACAGGTAGGAGCAAAATGGGCCACATTCAACAACTATTGAGCACCTACTGCCTGCCGAACACAGTTCTAGAGGCAGGACCTAGTGTACCAGACAGACAGAAAGCCCTGCCCTCCTGGCTTACGCTATAGCGGGAAGGAAACAGGCAGCAAACAAGATAAGTAAGCATGTTAAATTCTATGTCTGACAGTGATCGTTGCCATAGAAGAAAAGAAAGGCTGTGCAGGGAGGAGTGTGTGGGGAGTTACAGCTTTTAACAGGGAGGTCGGGGTGGCTGTTCCATTTGAGTAGGGACATGAAGGAGGTGACAGAGGGAGCCATAGGAAAGAGCCTTCGAGGCCTAATAATTGTTCCCTCAAACATCCTAAGAGTTGGACCCTGTCATCCTATTTCACAGATGGGGATTCAGGCACCGAGAGATTAAGTGACCTGCCCAAGGTCACACAGCAGGACGTCAACGGTGCTAGGAGTTGATTTCATATTCCTCTGCGTCAAAGCACATGTCCAAAGCCACCTATCACTCAGTTTCTTCCTTTGCAATCTGGGGATTAGAATCCCCATCCTTCAGACCTGGTTGGAAGGTTCCACCATGTTTATTGGTGGATTTTGTGAACAGAATGGGCTGCCCACGAATGGAGGGGGGTCAGCTGAGGGTTAATGAATCCTTGGCTCCAGGAGGCTGGGCCAGCTGCCCGGGTTGCACACCTGGAGGAACCAGAAGGAGGGAGTTCACGGATCCTGTGCATGAGGGTTTGGTAAGGCTTGCTGGAGGAGGAGGGCTTGGCACCAGACCCGAAGCCTCAGGATTCAGGGAGCCCACGGCACCATCAAACCTCTTCTCCTCCCACAGGGACAAGCTGGCAGAGCTGCATGGGAACATGTTCGTGGAAGAATGTGTCAAGTGTAAGACGTGAGTGTCACAAGGGCGGGGGCAGGCCAGGGTGGTGGCCCAGGTCCACCTTTTGTCGCTTCCCAGGTTGGGCTCTGCAACGGGACCTTAGGAGTTAAATCTGAGACCAAGAGACCCAGGATGGGGGACAGGGCTGGGGTGTGACCCTGGGAGTGTGGGGCAGCGAGGCACATCTTCCTCCTGGGGAGGTGTATCATTTCCTGTGGCTGCCACAAGTAATCACAAACCAAGTGGCTTAAAACAACAGAAATGGCCGAAACCGGTTTGGCTCAGTGGATAGAGCATCGGTCTGCGGACTGAAAGGTCCCAGATTCGATTCCGGTCAAGGGCATGTACCTTGGTTGCGGGCACATCCCCAGTGGGGAGGGTGCAGGAGGCAGCTGGTCAATCTTTCTCTCTCATCAATGTTTCTAGCTCTCTCTTCCTCTCTGTAAAAAAAAAAAAAAAAAAATCAATAAAATATATTAAAAAACAAAAAATCAGAAATGTATGTCCTCGTCTGGGCATGCTGGATGTTTCCCTGTGCTTAGATTCTAGTCACGTAGCCCCTGCTTCCCTGAGAGAACAAGAGTCCCCCAAAATGAAGAACCAGTGGGTGGGGCCATAAGGTGGGAAGGTGGTGGGCTTGACCAAGCCCCACCATCCCTCTTTTCTCCTACGAAGGCAATATGTCCGGGACACTGTGGTGGGCAGCATGGGCCTCAAAGCCACTGGCCGGCTCTGCACCATGGCCAAGGCCAGGGGCCTGCGGGCCTGCAGGTGAGTGACCCCTGTCCATGCCCTGGGTTCCCGGGGAGGCGGCAGGTCTCCACACTGACTGCCCCTAACCCTCACCATCGCAGGGGGGAGCTGAGAGACACCATCCTGGACTGGGAGGACGCTCTGCCCGAACGGGACCTCACTCTTGCTGATGAAGCCAGCAGGTCAGACCCCCAGAGGGGCCCAGGGCGGAGCAGTCAGGGAGAGGGGCAAAAGCACAACCAGCTTCAGCACAGGGCAAGGACTCCAGCTCAGAGGTGGAGTCAGGAGAGCCTTCCTGGAGGAGGCAGCTTGAACCCTATTTGGGCATTGGTTTCCCCTAATAATGGCAGCAGCTAGGTACTAGCCCCCTAGCATACCTGACCCTGGGCCAGGGGCTTCACAGACAAGGTACTCACCACAGCCCAGGGGTTCTACACTGGGCCCATTTTGCAGGCAAGGAAACAGACTTTAGCAAGGTGACTCCTCTGTCCAGTGCTACCCAGCCAGGATTCAACTCAGGAGCCCAGGTGTGGAAGGTCCCGCCCACATCAACAACTCCCCTCTGCCACAGTGGAAGGGAAGCCACAGGGGCAGGATTCAGGGAAGCTTGGCCTCCCAGGGTGCATCTGGGCCTGTTGCAGTGGAGTTTGAGACCGCACCCCCAAGGGTGAGGCAGGAGGAGGGCTGCAGAAACCCGTTAGAGAGGCTCAGCCTAACCCCGCCTCCCGGCCCCAGGATCGCGGACCTGTCTGTCACACTAGGCACCTCCCTCCAAATCCGGCCCAGCGGGAACCTGCCGCTCGCCACCAAGCGACGTGGAGGCAGGCTGGTCATCGTCAATCTTCAGCCCACCAAGCACGTATGTGTGGAGCCCACCCCTGACCTTCCCCCACCCCAGGACCCGATGGCCCTCGGCGTCCGCCTCACGTGTCCTTGCCCCAGCAGGACCGCCAGGCTGACCTGCGCATCCACGGCTACGTAGACGAGGTCATGACCCGGCTCATGAAACACCTGGGCCTGGAGATCCCCACCTGGGACGGCCCCCGCGTGGTGGAGAGGGCGCTGACGCCCTTGCCCCGCCCCCCCGCCCCTAAGTTCGAGCCCAAGGAGGAGTCCCCCACCCACTTCAACGGTCCAGCGCCAGCCAGCCCCAAGCAGGAGCCCACAACCGAGACCCCCGCCCAGCACAATGGTTCCGGGCCCGTCAGCCCCAAGAGGGAGCAGCTGGACAGTCCGGGCGCCCGCAGGACCCCTAAAAGGGTGAAGACCGAGATGCCTCCCAGCTGACAGGGGGCCTGGGAGGGCGGGCTTTTTATAGAAACCGAGGGTTTGTTTTTTTCTTACCGGTCTCCCTTTGTTACTTGCCTCTGTCCTGGGGCAGAAGATCCCAGGGCAGTGAGAGCAGTGCTGCAGGCCCAAGGGCAAACCTGCCCTCAATTGGGGCTTCCTTTAGCTCCAGGGGCCTCTGGTAGGGGCCTGGGGAAGAGCAACCCTGCCCTGGACCCTGACCTTCCAGCTGACACCACAGGTACCTTCTCTGCTCCAGCCCACGACTCAGGATGTTTTTGGGGGAGATGTGGCCACACCCTCAGTTTCCAACCTAAACAGAAATTAACTCCCTCTGCTCCCTGGGCCTTCACACCCCCAACCCCTGCCTCCCCCAAATGGCCTTCACAGTTCCTCCAGAAGGAAGAGGGGCAGACCCTCCATTTAAGAGCCAAACTTCCGGTGGGACAGACTATAGTATTTCACTGCCTTTGGGCTGAAGGGAGGAAGTGGGCCCACCTGGCACTTCCACACTTCCAGAAGAGTCTTCAGTGCAATAAAAGCAGAATTTCTTGCATCTGAGTCTGTGTGTAACACCCACAACCTAGCACCAGGTCCTAGGCCCTGGGGAAGGACTGTGTGATTCCCCCGGGTCGTCAGCCTGGGCTTCCATGCAATCCAGAGAAGGGCAATACCAGCTGCTGGCACTCCTTAAACTTTCAGTTTGTAATTTGTATCTATTTGCATGGTTTTTAAGTATTTTCTCTCACTAAGAGGCTGTGAGCCACGAAAGGAATGATCCTTTGGTCGCGATTGCATCCCTCAGACACCTACACAAAGGGGCAGGGCTGGGGTGACCCCTTAAGAGCTCAGGTGAAACTGGGTTCCACCCCAACCCAGCTATAACCTTAGACAGGTCCCTTCACTCGCGATACCTCAGTCTCCACGGGAGAAAGCAGGGTGGGCAGCCTGTCCCTCCGAAGGCGGATGCCCTTGAAGGGCTTCCAGGACCTCGCGCTCCATCAGCTGCCGCTCTCCGCGGTGCTGAAGACATTCTTGGCACCTCACCGGCTGCCTCTAGCCTGAATGCCTGGGGCCTCCCCACTTTACTCCCCGATTCCAGGCTTGTCCAGTCCCACCTTCTGGAGATTGGGGAGCCCCAGACTCCAGCCTCTACCCGGTTACACTTCCACATCAGCCGTGTTCTGTCGCAATATTTTATTAAGGATCACGGCAGTCAGAGAAGGTGGAGGGCGGCCACGGCCATCCCGAAGTTCAGAGCCCAGCCACAGCTTAGGGGCCAGGCTCCCTGCAGTCTCAGTCACTTCCTCTTCCCTGTGTTTGAGGGAACAGGGAGGAGTCCCCACGCAGGGCAATTGTTGAGGCATGTGTGTGTACGTCTGTCAGGGTCTGGACCACTCTATGTATCTGCCTGTTCCATTCTGTGCCTGGGTTTGTGTGTATTTCTCAGGCTTTGTGGTCTCAGGGTTGCCCTGGGTCTGAGCATCAGTTTCTGCTCCGGTGTCTGAGTCCCTGGGTATGTAGCTGTGAGTTTGTGCATCTCCATCCTGGCATCTCCACAGGGGTCTCTGTCTCACCTCCAGTCCCCTGCCTCCGCTACAGCACCCACCACAGTGCGCCTGAGCAGAGGGGCCTGGAGTCACATCCAGGTGGTACTCACAGCTCCTCCCCCACCGCCTCCAGCCCCACGAGACCTGGGCTGAGTGCTGGCTCAGATGAGGCCCAGCCCAGCAGGGCGGCCCGGCCCAGCTGCTCTGCCCAGTTGCCCTGGATCAGGGTCGACTTGTTCAGCTCCTCCGTTGAGTTTTCCAGAGGCAGCACGTCCTGGGATTTCCAGTGCACCTTGCGGCTGCCTGGAGACCCTCCCTGAGGTGCGCCAGCCTCGGCCTGAGGTCCTCGGGCCTCGGAACCTGGTATGGTGTCGAGGGCCACACGGGAAGCAGCGTCGTTGTGCAAAGTTCTGGAGAAGACTGAGGGAGGGTTGGAGGTTCATGAGGGATGGGATAGGAAGACTGGTGTTCCTTCTTTCCTTATCTCCCAGCTTCAGGGAGCTCCTTCTCCCTCCCCCAGAGGCCCAATATTGGGACGTGAGGAGCCATGGGGATGTTGTCCATGATGCAGCCCAGAGGGGACCCCAAAGTGATCCTGGTCTACCTACCTCGCACAGGTGTGAAGTCTCCGGCGCTCTCGGCTTTGTTGGCAAAAGGGCTGATGGAGGGGAGGACGATGAGGGCAAAAGAGAGCAGCAGGACCTGCCAGAGATGGGGGCGGGGTCACCCTATCCCTCCACTATCCTTGTAAGCACACCCATCTTCTGGGCAGGGAGACAGGCCCAGAAGACTGGATGATGCTTGAACTGGGGCCAGGGCCATGCTACTCACACTCACCTTCCCCCTCCCACAGGCCAGTCTGCCAAGGCTGAGGAACCCCTTTATCCTGGGGGCCATCAGCAGGGGGTAGGACTCACCGCTATGCAGGTGCCTGCCTGGGCTGTCTTGCTGGTGGACTGGACTACAATGGCCTGGAGTTTCTTTAGCTGCTCCAAGAGGGACCTTAGTGGAAAGAACAGCCTTGGCTGAGCCCTACAGGGCCTTAACCTGGTTCTCTGTCCATTTCTTGGGTTCCCCAGCAGAGCTGATGTCTGAATTCTGTCCACCCCTCAAGGCCCCCCTGCTCTTACAAGGTCCCCCTCCCTCTGCTTTGGTAAATCTCCAATGACATCCCACCCATTCTCTGCCACCCATCCAGGCCTCCAGGAACACTCACCTGGACGCCAACCCAAGCCTCCTCTCTGGTTCCCCTCATCTCTACCCCCTCAACCTCCTCTCCCCCTCCCACCTCTCCTGCCCTCACTCAGCAACCAGGGGACGCTTTCCAAATGTAAAACAGCTTCTCCCATTCCTCTCAGGGCTCCAACCTCCCTCAAGTCTTCTCTGCAACTGAAGCCATGAATAACTTGCTGCTCTCACTCACTCTGCTCCAGCCACATTGGCCTCCTCACCATGCCTCCAGCATGCTGGGTCCCAGGACCTTTGCACAGGCCATTCCCTCTAAGGACACTTGAGGGAATGGCCTGTTCCCCCAGGTCTCTTGGCAGCTGGTTTTTGTCTCATCCCATTAGGCCTCATCTCAAATAACACTGTATCTGGTCTTCCTGTGTAAAATATCCTGACAGTCCTGGCATGGTAACAAAGTTGGTTAGAGTGCCATCCCAATAGTCTAAGGTTGTAAATTTGATCCCTGGTCAGAGCACATACAAGAATCAACCAAAGGCCCTAGCCAGTTTGGTTTAGTGGATAGAGTACTGGCCTGTGGACTGAAGGGTCCCGGGTTCGATTCCAATCAAGGGCATATGCCCTGTTGTGGGCTTGATCCCAAGAAGGGGGCGTGTAGGAGGCATATGATCAAAGATTCTCATCACTGATGTTTCTATCTCTCCCTCTCCCTTCCTCTCTGAAATCGATAAAAACATGTTTAAAAAAAAAAAAAAGAATCAACCAATGAATGCATAAATAAGTAGAACAACAAATCAGTGTTTCTCTCAAATCAATATAAAATAGCCCTTCACCCTACTTTGTTTTTCTTCTTACAAACTATCGCTATTTGTGTGATCCTTTATGTATTTTTGTTTGTCTTGAGTATCTCTCCCACTCGACTGTGAGTTCTTTAAGTGGAGGGACTGTGTCTTTGATCATTTGTGGTCCCAGTGCCCAGAACTATGATGCAGAGTAGATGCTAATAAAAATAAGTGGATGCACCCCTTAGATGGAATTCTGTGTAGTTCTCCAGTACACCATGTCCTCGGGCCATTCATAAGCCATTTCCTCTACTGAGAGTAGTTTCCCCCATGAACTCATACATCTTTTAAGACCCCAAATCCAAATCCCCTCCGTTATGTAGCCTGCCTCCTTTCTAGGTGGAATCCTTACCCATACCCTCCCTCCTTATCCCCCTTCTCTGCCCTGCTATCACAGAAGTTGCCCCTCCCCAACACTGTTCACCTCTCCTGCAAGGGATTTGGGGGCCGGTTCTCCCTCTCTGCCCTGACTGGACCAGGACTCACTGGTTCTGCTTCTCGAGATGCAAAACTTTCCTCTGAAGCTCCTGGTTCTGGGTAGTACAGGCCGACATCCTGCAGGGACAAAGTCACAGTGACATTCAGAGTATGTCTGCCACCAACTGCCCAGTCACCTCTTCCTGTGAGGCTCCAGTTTACAGGCAAGGAATCCAAGGCCAAAGAGGGGAAGTCACTCATTCCAAGTCACCCAGGCAAGTCTCTGAGGGCCAGAATTGAACGAGTGTCTGCCAGGTTTCTAGGTCCCATCTCTGCATTGGTGTGGGGAGCTTCACTCAAGTCTGAGCCCCCATGAATGGAATGGAATGCCAAAGTCAGGCAGTGATGCTTCCAGAAGATGAAATAGCGGGGAGGCTGGGAGTCCAAGGAGAACCAAGTTACTCCCCTCACCATCCCTGTGACCTTGAGCCTCTCATCTCTCTGGCCAGACCTTAGTCCCCTCACTGGTAAAACTGGGTTACAGTTATTTAGTTCACAGAGGGGTTCGGAGAATGGTATGAAGCAAAGTTGAGTAGGGGCTTGACAGATGGCATTTGAGGAACAAGACAATGATTATTGTTCCCACCAGGGTTCTGATGGAACACTTTTCCCATCTGCATCCATCTGTGAACATGGTCGTGGCCCAGACCATTCAGATGTGGAGTTTAAATACTCAAATCACAGCGTGAGGATGTGTCAGTCCTCATATCACGACCAGGGAAGAGAAGAAATCCCCTCTCTGAAAGGTCCTCTCTAAATAACTCAAGAGATAAAGAATTAGAGAAAACCTAGGGTCCACGTGGCAATGACAGTAGTACAAATCAAAATGTGTGAGATGCAGCCAAGGTGCTGCTGAGAAGGAAATTATAGCCTTAATTCAGCTCAATGAACTAAACAACAGCATAAAATCCACCACCACCACCCCCACATACAAAAAGCCAGTCTAAGAAGGACATAACAAGCTTACAGTAAAGATGAAAGAACTCGAAAAGAAAAATACAATTGGATGGGAGGAAAAGCCAGAAATCCATTCTTTGCAAAGAATGATAAGTACACAAACTTCTGGCAAGATAAATAAAAAAGATTTAAAAAAAAAAAAAAAAAGAGAGAGAGAGAGAGAAGGCAAAAGTAAACAAATGAATTATTAAGAAGAGCATAATTTTTTTAAAAAAATAATAAGGGCATAATTATATAGCCCAGCCAGTGTTCAGTGGTTGAGCATCGATCCATGAACCAGGAGGTCACAATTTGATTCCTGGTCAGGGCACATGCCCAGATTTCAGACTCAATCCCCAGCGGGGGGTGTGCAGGAGGCAGCCAATCGATGTTGATGTTTCTCTTTCCCTCTCCCTCTAAAATAAAAACATTTTTAAATAATAGGAGAGAACTATAAGCCATTTTATGTCAATAAATTTGAAATCGGCATCTTCACAAAAAAATATAACATCCCAAACCTGACCCAGGAATAAGTTGGAAACCCAAATAGATCTGTAACATTCCATAAATTCATTCTTGGCAGTTACAACAGCTCTGAGGACCAGAGATCTCAACCAGGGAAGTGAGCATCCCATATCCCATGTCCTGGCACAGAGCCAGACAAGATGGATAATACCGCCGTCTCTTTAGGTACCACATATTCTAGGGTTCAAAGGGACCCTGAAATCCTTCCCTGAGCCATATTTCATCCTTGCAACTCACATGAAATAAGGTCCCTCCTGGAGAGGGAAGACGACTTTAATTTTGTCATTACATCTCTTTACATCCCTTTCTCTGGCCAGCACACAGCCCTTTGACCCAGCAATTCCACTTCCAAGAATTGATCTTTCCTCCCTGAGTATGCCCAGGACCCAGCCTTACCGAGTTTCCAGGCCGTCAATATATTCCTTCTTCTTTTTACGGCTTTCTTGGGCTGACTGTTTGTTCCGAATTTTCCGGCGGATTTTTTTCAGGACTCGCTCCTCATACTGCCACGTGACATGGAGAACAGGCTGAGTCAGGCTAAAGGGTCTGGACCCCACAATTTCACCCAGTCTCTTCCCAGGGTAGCCATCTCAGACCCAGGGACGTGGGGGCAGACTCCTGATGATTTCAAAACCAGCTTTCCTACCCCTAAATTCTTACAGAGTCTCCAGGAGAGTCCTGGCTCCTGGAATCTATCCAGCTTCTATTCCCAGTTAGTAACATGCGACCGAACTCTGTGTGCGGTGCAACTGCGCCACCTTCTGGTCATACCTGAGACCAGTGCTTTTCATGGGGACCAGCTAATACCAACATTAAACTCTGGTGTTGATATTACGTGAAAGGGCTGAGTGAGAACTGTGGCAAGATAGGGAGGTCTCACTAAGTTGGCTTTTTGGATGACTTTTTACTCTGGTTGTAGTCACGTCCAACCATTTCAGTGTGGGAGGCGTAAAGGTGAGACTCATGGGCAGCTAGCTGCAGGAAGGGGAAAAGACTCGGAGCCAAGGGCTTCACCATCTCACCTTGGTGAGGGGCAGCTGGGTGGGCAGTGTGATGCCTTCTTTGGCCAACAGTTTCTTCTCGTCCTCTGTCAGCACCAGTTCCTGGCAGTGCCCAGTCCCAGATCTCAGCAGGTGGGGGGCTGCCAAGGAATGCTGTTGCTATGGAAAAAACAGGGCGGTTGGTTGCGTTGGGGGCAGAGAGTGGCCGCCTTTGGGAAATGAAAGAGGCACCAGATTTGATCGATCCATCTGCTGTAGCATCCCCACTGGCCAGCACACAGCCCTTTGACCCAGCAATTCCACTTCCAAGAATTGATCTTACAGATACCCTCCCACATACGCAAAGAAGGGGCAGCCGGAATTTTTATTCGCTTAACAAAGTCACTAGACAGCTATTGATAGCCACCTACTACATTCCAGGCACCGTTCTGGGCTGTGCACATGCATTGTAACACTGTCTGCAATGGCAAAGGATTGGAAGCAACGAAAATATCCAGCAAATAAGGCACAACCCATTTGTTCAATGGAATATGACACAACTCTGAAAAGGGATTGCTCTCCATGTCATGCTATGGAGCAATCCCCATAATAAACTGTCAACTTAAAAAGAAAATAAAGCCAGCACCGGTTTGGCTCAGTGGATAGAGCGTTGGCCTGCGGACTGAAAGGTCCCGGGTTCGATTCCGGGCAAGGGCATGTACCTTGGCTGCGGGCACATCCCCGGTGGGGAGTGTGCAAAAGGCAGCTAGTCGATGATTCTCATCGATGTTTCTAACTCTCTATCCCTCTCTCTTCCTCTCTGTAAAAAATCAATAAAATATAAAAAAATAATAAATAAATAAATAAATAAATAAATAAATAAAATAAACTGTCAACTTAACATTGGGGAACCATTGTTGCATGTGGCCTGCTACTTTTTATATTAACAGCTGGGTGGCTAAAGGCAAATTAACTTCTCTATGCCCATCTCTTTATATGTAAAATTAAGATAATAAAATACCTTATGGTCAGTGATTGAGCATCAACTTATAAACCAGGAGGTCACAGTTTGATTCCTGGTCAGAGCACAGGCCTGGATTTCAGGCTTTATCCCCAGTAGGGGGAGTGCAGGAGGCAGCTGATAGATGATTCTCATCTCTTTCTTCCTCTCCCTTCCTCTCTGAAACCAATAAAAACTATTTTTAAAAATATATAATATAAATAAATCCCCAATCTTCAGGGTTATTGTAAATTAAAAGATTATACATTTAAAGCATTTAGAAGAATGCCTGGCCTATAGTAGGTGCTTAGTAAGTTCTTGTTTGTTTTGTTTTTACTACCACTGTGGTAGAAAATGTCCCAGCTCGGGAGATAGAGAACTCAGGACTGGAGCCCACAGAATTGCCTTAGATGTGACCCTGGACAAATCCAACCTTTGTCCGTGACTCAGTTTTCAGTCTCTGAAATGGGGATATTGGGGCTCCGTGCACCCCATGTGGTCTCCCAGCTCTGATACTTGGGAGTTGGGGTGGAGGCTGCTCACCAGGTCTCCACCACTGCCGGAGAGGAGAAGGTCTTTCACCGTGAGGCTGCAGCTTGGGGGCGAGACTGCCAGCTCAGCCTGCTCCTCAGGATAGAGGCCCGGGTTCCACATTTCTAACCAGGGCAGATGGGGACAAAGACAGGGAGAGTGTCAGGTGGGAGGCACTGATCTCCCAGCTTCTACCTGCCTCCTCCACCTAGGCTTCCGGGATTGACTCCAAGGTGCTAAGGATTCTGGGTACAACTCGGGGCCCCAATGCCTGGGTTGAAGGGGACAGACCCAGCTGGTGCCTCAGTCTCCCCTCTCTGGAAGATAGAAACCCAAATCCATCAGGACACTGTCGGGGGACCCACTGCCAATCAGGAGAGAGAGGCTGGTATTGCCCAGGATTCTAGACCGGATTTACAGCCAGCCAGGCCTTATCTCCCTTTGGGGCGGGGACCAGGTCTGATTCACCTCTGGTTCCCTCCCACCCGTGCCTGGCCCACTGTAAGTGAGCTGCTCTCCAGAGCACAGAGTTCAGAGTCTCATTCTCACTGGGTGAAATGTGTGCCCTTGGGTAAGGAACTAAACCTCTCTGAGCCTCAGTTTCTTCAGCTCTCCAACGGGATTCCTAAGAGCTCCCGCTCCATTGCAAGGCTCAGAGGACAAAGGATGCCCTGCTGGGGTGTCTTCTGCATAAAGTCTCTCCCAAGAGGAGGCCTTGACCACCGCGACCCACGACCTCTCACTTTCCTGGAGCATCTACTGTGACCCAGGCATGGGAGGCACAAAGACAAGGTTGGCAGCATGACACCTGGCGTCACAGCCAGCCTGTGGTGGGTGCATCCCAGCTCGGTGGCTTTGACTTGTTGCTTAACCTCATGGGCACTCCGTTTCACCATCCGGAAAATGGGCCTATGCGAGCATTCATCTCAAAAGGAGGGGCACGTGTGTGAAGAGGTAAGGGCAGTGAGAAAAGACACAGAACTCACCCAGGTCTATGGCCACAGAGGCCTCGAGCACCTGGGCCACTGGCCCAGGAGGCCTGCTGGGGCTGTGGGGGAGAGGAAGGTAGGGGGGGCAGAGCCCCTTGCCAGACTCCGAGAAATGGCAGCCGGCCGGGGTGGCGGTGGGCACATTGTGTGGAGGAGTATCCTGCGGGTCGGAGGGCAGATCTTCAGAGATGCCGCTGTCGCTGTCCACAGGAGACCAGAGAGGGGAGCTCGGCGCTGAGTCTCCAGAACCCAAGATACAGCTGAGGAAATCATCAGATTCCGGGGCCGGCAGGACCTGCAGGCATGAGGGGGTGGGGCGGGAATGAGGAGGTCTGTGCTTTGCTCTGGATTGCTGTGTGACTGTGGGCAAGCCACTGACCCTCTCTGGGCCTCACTTGTCCTTTCTGCCAGAATGAGGGCTTGTGGGGCTTGAACACAATCATGTTCCATGAGAACACCATCCTGCCGGAGTTTGAGTTTGGACCCAACTCCAAACTGCTGTGTGTGTGACCCAGACAAGTTACCGGACCTTGGATTCGTCACTTCTAAGGCACCGATGCCGCCGGCCCCTTGGGGCAGCTGAGAGGTTCAAAGCAATACTGTGCTTTGCTGAAATTACACACCACGAGCCAGAAATGCTACCGAGCTGAGTGGAGTTCTGGCTGCAGTGGGGGGTCCTCACCTGGTCTCCAGCGTGGCCCCAGTCCTCCCCCAGATCTTCATGTCTCAGAATTCCATCCTGTCGATCAAACAGGAGGTCCAGGAGCTCCATGCCGTCCATGGGGCCTATGGAACAGGTGGCGGAAGCCATCTGGGGAAGGACGGGACAGGCATGAGGTCACACAGCCTTTCTCCTCCCCATCTCCCACCTGCATACCCTCACCCCCCTAGGCCCGTCCAGTTTAAGTTCAACTTCCACTCAATCTCTAGGCCTGGCTTCCACCTCCAAATCAGTGCTGAGGGGCTGACCCAGAGTTCCCAGGGCAAGATGAGAGCCGGTTGCTTTTAAAAGTGCTAGACAGGCCAAAACCGGTTTGGCTCATTGGATAGAGCGTCAGCCTGCGGACTGAAAGGTCCCAGGTTTGGTTCCGGTCGGGGACATGTACTTTGGTTTGGGGCACATCCCCAGTAGGGGGTGTGCAGAAGGCAGCTGATTAATGATTCTCTCTCATTGATGTTTCTAACTCTTTATCATTGATGTTTCTAACTCTTTATCCCTCTCTCTTCCTCTCTGTAAAAAATCAGTAAAATATATTTAAAAATAAAATAAAATAGCCGGGACCGGTTTGGCTCAATGGATAGAGCGTCGGCTTGGGGACTGAAGGGTCCCAGGTTCGATTCCGATCAAGGGCATGTATCTTGGTTGTGGGCATATCCCCAGTAGGGGGTGTGCAAGAGGCAGCTGATCGATGACTCTCTCTCATTGATGTTTCTAGCTCTCTATCTCTCTCCCTTCCTCTCTGTACAAAATCAATAAAATATATTTTAAAAATAAAAATAAAAATAAAAATAAAATAAAATAGCCGACACTGGTTTTGCTTAGTGGATAGAGCGTCGACCTGCGGACTGAAAGGTCCCAGGTTCGATTCCAGTCAGGGGGCATGTACCTTGGTTGCGGGCACATTCCCAATGGGGGAGTGTGCAGGAGGCAGCTGATAGATGATTCTTTCTCATCAATGTTTCTAACTATCCCTCTCTCTTCCTTTCTGTAAAAAATCAATAAAATATATTTTTAAAAAATAAATAAATAAAATAAAAAAATAAAATAAAATAAAATAAAATAAAAAAGTGCTAGACAGATGTACACATGGGGACAATCAGCCTGCTCACTCCCTGGAGCTGATAGAATTGGCCTCTCATTCTCAGCCTGCCCATGTCCCCCTGGCTAAGCGTGTGTGTGTGTGTGTGTGTGTGTGTGTGTGTGTATATGTGTGTGTGTGTGTAGGAGAGCCTGGGAGAAGTAAGAGCAGCCGGGGAATGGAGGCATGGCTTTGGTCACTGCATTCTCTCTGGGCCTTTCTTCCCATCTGTGCAATGAGGTGGGGGTTCCTTCCAACTCTGGGAGCTTGGGGAGAGTTTCCTGGCATAGCCCTCCCCCCACCCACGGACCCAGGCAGGGCTCACTCACCTTCCCAGCGGGTAGATCTCCATTCATGAGCCCAGCCAGCTCTGCCTCCAGCTACTTTCCGTCTCTTGTCGGTAGAAGCTCTCCCCAAGTCTTGTTCCTGTCTGTGGATCTGTCTCCCCACCCCCAAAAGATGCTGAAATAGTCCTGGGGTGCTCCCAACCCACCCCCAGCTGCTGATTGGGGGACAGGCCAGACGGACAGGGTAAAGGGCCAGTGATACCAGGGCAGGCTGGGGGAGGGAAGAGAAGACCCGTTATCTTGATGTTTTGTGCTTTTCCTGCAGGCAAGGGGCAAAGGCCAAAGTCTGGGGTGCCTTCGCTCTGCCGTGACCTCTTCCCTACTTTTAGGGACTGCTTCTTATCAGAGTCCTAGACGTCGGATAAAGGAGAGTACAGGGCTGCAGGCCAGTCCAGTCCACTCCTAGGACAGGACAAACAGGAGGACCACCCAGACCTTTGCTGAAGCGGTTCTCTCTGCAGGAGCTCCCTCCCCTCAGCACAGCTGGCAACCCCTGTCACCCTCCAAACCCTCCAGGGCTGAACCCCTGTAACCAATTCCTTCTGGAATCTTCTATCGTTAATTCATTCAACAACTATTTACTGAGCCAAACTTGTTTCCACCTCAGGGCCTTTGCATTTGCAGTCCCCCTGTCTGGAACTCCCCTCTCCTCCTCCGCTGAGTCAGTCACTGTGAATGTTTGATATCTGTGAATCAGCCCAGGTGGCTGAGAGCCCATCTCTGACCCAGCAGAGAGAAGACCCCTCCCCAGGTATCTTTGTCAGATCCTTGTTTTCACTGAACTCATTATTTAAAATGTTCTTACTTGTGTATTAACTTGCTTGGTGTCTTCCCTCAGGTCTCCCCTCCCCACTGCACCCAGAACGGAAGGGCCTTAGGGGCTAGAGTAGAGTGTCTGTGTTCTCTGCTGGGCCCTCCGTGTCCAAGAAACGTCTGGCACTCAGTGGTGCTCAATCAGCTCTTCCTCATTGAGCACCTCCTGTGTGCCAACCACCACTTGAGGCACTAGGGCTGAGGCAGTGGATGAGCTAGACCATAAACATATAAATAAACCAGTAAACAGATAAACGGGGTAAGTACTACTGAAAGACTAAGCGAAACCATGATAAAGGGCAACTGAGGACTAGAAAAAGCCCCTTTTAGAAGGTGACATTTAAGTACAGCTCTTACCGATGACAGAGAGACAGCCATGGAAGATCTAGGGGAAGGGTGTTTCAGGTAAATAAAAATAAAATAAAAATAAAAGAGCACATGCAAAGGCCCTGGGAGGGCTGTGCTGGCAAGTGGGAGAAGAGGGAGGGGCCGGGTGAGGAAGAGGGAGGGAGGGAGCGGTAAGGACAGGGAGGGCACAGGAGCAGGTTGTGTAGGGCTCTCTGGGCTAACACAGAAGTTTGGCTTATACTAAATATAGCGAGAAGCTGTTGATGCCTAGCCGGTGTGGCTAGTTGGCTTAGCTTCATCCCATGCATCAAGAGATTGCTGGTTCAATTTCCAGTCAGGGCACATGCCCAGGTTGTGGGCTGGATCCCTGGTAGGAGGCATTCATGAGGCAGCCAACTGATGACTCTCATCAATGTTTCTCTCTCTCTCTCTCTACCTCTCTCTATAAAATCAATTAAAAATTATTTTTAAAAGACAGAAATTCTTAAAAAAAAAAAAAAAAAAAGGAAGCTGTTGAGAACTTAGTGAATACTCAGCTACATCAGGACTTCTGTATGCCAGGCATGACGCTAACAGCTAGGTTTACAGTGTAACTAAAAAAAAACCCTCCTTGCTCCCAAAAATTTAAATCCTGATGTATATTTCTCAATGCATCAATCATTATTTATTCATGCAACAAAACTTTAATGAGGGCCTACTACGTGCCACACATGATGTGTTTCTTGTATCCAGCAATAAGTTACATTGCAACAGTTGCCCCTTCCCGAGGGGGGTGGGGAGGCGGGCACTGAGAAATGTCTGGGGACATCTATGGTTGTCACAACTGAGGAATATTCCTGGCATGGAGTAGGTAGGGGCCAGGGATGCTGCTTAGCACCGCAGTGTCCATGACAGCCCCACAGAGAGTGACATGACCCCAATGTCAACAGTGCCTGGGGGAGACCCTGTGTTACAGTCGCTGTCCCCTCTGGATGCTGGTATCGTTATCTTGTCCTTGGCTCCCAGATCGCTCTTATTTCCTTTGCAATGGCTCTGAGGTGGATCTTTAAGGGATTTGTTTGGTTTGGCTTGTCTTTAGTGATCCCGTCATAATATTTACTCAGCTTTCGCTGCGGAGGCACTGTGCCAAGCCTGTCCTGGCAAGTGTACCAAGTAGGTGAAATCTGATTTCGGGACTTCTTTCTGCCTCTCCCTTACCCCATTCATGACTCTCAGGAGTCCAAGTTTCCTTGCACATAATTCCTCCTCCTCCCCTGGTGAAACCTGCCAGAAAGAAAGGATGTGGCATTACTCGCTTATACCTTCATGAAGATTAAGACCCTCCCCCTCTCCCTCCCCAGGATATTTGTGTTTCTTTAAGTTTTTATAATTATGGACTTCAGAAGCTTTCATAAACCCCAATGAAGAAATATCTGGCCCTAATCGGTTTGGCTCAGTGGATGGAGCGTCGGCCTGCGGACTCAAGGGTCCCAGATTCAATTCTGGTCAAGGGCATGTACCTTGGTTGCTGGCACATGGGGAGTGTGCAGAAGGCAGCTGATTGATGTTTCTCTCTCATCGATGTTTCTAATTCTCTCTCCCTCTCCCTTCCTCTCTGTAAAAATATCAATAAAATATATTTTTATATAAAAAAAGAAATATCTGAAGAAGTATGATAAGGATAAACATTTGAGGGAGAGCAGGACTTTTCGATACCCTTGACATCACATTATCCCATTGACTAGACACAACCACCTACTTCAAATTTCCATAATAGAGCCCACCAACACGTTTAAGTGTGAAATGCAACCCCAAAAGGATGGTGTGGCCAAACCAGATGAGGGAGCACTGCGTCAATAAACAGCTTTGCAAAACTCATCAGAGCTTTTACACTCTTGGAGCGAACAGAGTTTGTCGCATTTCCCAAGCATAATTGTATAGGTGTGGTTTTTTCCCCCCATTTTTATTTGATTTGTTCCGAACCATTTCTGACATATGAAAACGTTGAGAGATAACCACTAGAATGACTAAAATAAAAAGACAGGCAACATCAGAAGTTGTCGGAAGCTATGGAGCAATTGGAACGCTCGCCCACTGTTGGTGGGAATCAAAATGGCCCAATCACGTTGGTAAACTTTGGAAAACTGGCAGTCTCTTACAAAGTTAAACATTTATTCACCATATGATTTAGCAATTTCACTCCTGGGTATTTACCCAAGAGAAATGCAAGTGTATGTTCACAAAAAGACATGAAATGTCATGACAACTCTACTCATAACTGTCCCCAACTGGAAAGAACTTAAATATCCAACAACAAGAGAATGGATAAACAAAGTGGTATATCCATACCACACAATACTACTCAGCCAGCACTCATCAGATTGAACACACCTAAGACCTGCATTATTATTGTAAATTAATTCTACCTCAATAAAAAGTATAAAAAATATATATGTACAACCATGAACATAAAACATTTGGAGGCTGTGCTCCTGCTCTCTCTGAAGTATCCAGGTCCATCCTCGTCGCTGCGGCGACACCCACACCCGCCACCGCCATGACTGAGCAGATGACACTTCGTGGCACCCTGATTGCTACCACTCCCCAGTTCCTGGACATGATACTGTCCGCCTCTCGAGACAAGACCGTCATCATGTGGAAGCTGACCAGGGATGAGACCAACTACGGCATCCCACAGCGTGATCTTCGGGGTCACTCCCATTTCGTTAGTGACGTGGTCATCTCCTCAGATGGCCAGTTTGCCCTCTCTGGCTCCTGGGACGGAACCCTTCGCCTCTGGGATCTCACAACGGGCACCACCACGCGCCGATTCGTGGGCCATACCAAGGACGTGCTGAGTGTGGCCTTCTCCTCTGACAACCGGCAGATTGTCTCTGGCTCCCGAGACAAAACCATCAAGTTATGGAATACTCTGAGTGTATGCAAATATACTGTCCAGGATGAGAGCCACTCAGAGTGGGTGTCTTGTGTCTGTTTCTCGCCCAACAGCAGCAATCCCATCATCGTGTCCTGTGGCTGGGACAAGCTGGTCAAGGTATGGAACCTGGCAAACTGCAAGCTGAAGACCAATCACATCGGCCACACAGGATACCTGAACACTGTGACTGTCTCTCCAGATGGATCCCTCTGTGCTTCTGGAGGCAAGGATGGCCAGGCCATGCTGTGGGACCTCAACGAAGGCAAGCATCTGTATACACTTGATGGTGGGGACATCATCAATGCCCTGTGTTTCAGCCCCAATCGCTACTGGCTCTGTGCTGCCACTGGCCCCAGCATCAAGATCTGGGACTTGGAAGGCAAGATCATTGTAGATGAATTGAAGCAAGAAGTTATCAGTACCAGCAGCAAGGCAGAGCCACCCCAGTGTACCTCTCTGGCCTGGTCTGCTGATGGCCAAACTCTCTTTGCTGGCTATACAGACAACCTGGTGCGAGTGTGGCAGGTGACCACTGGCACCCGCTAGAAATATATGGCAGAGCTTTAGTAATAAAATGGTTTTCTGGCTTGTAAAAATAAATAAATAAATAAATAAACATTTAGAAACAGCCGAGACAAGTTTGGCTCAGTGGATAGAGCGTCGGCCTGCAGACTGAAAGGTCCTGGGTTCGATTCCGGTCAAGGGCATGTACCTTGGTTGTGGGCACATCCTCAGTGGGGGGTGTGCAAGAGGCAGCTGGTCGATGTTTCTCTCTCATCGACGTTTCTGACTCTCTGTCCCTCTCAATTCCTCTCTGTGTAAAATCAATAAAATATATTTTTAAAAAAACAACATTTAGAAACAACCAAAACATCCATTTTAAAAATCCATCAATAGGGCATTGATTAATAGAGTCTGATGCATTTGCATA